CCACGGAGTATGGTATTCCCACTGAATACCTAATGATTTCCATAATAATTTTATTATTTAGAAGTAAGGTGTGTGCCCTGGTCAGAATCAATGTACTGGATTATCCCATATCTAGGTATCAGGTGTTCTAATAGAATTTTTACCACCATTTGTGCCATAGCTCGTGCTACGGGATAAGCTTCTACCCATTGTGTTAAATGATCTACTATTACCAATAGATATTTTATCCTCTCTACTTTGGGCAATTCAGTGAAACCAACTTGTACTTTCTCAAAAGGCCTATAAGCTGTTTTGTTTTGTTTCTCCCTCCCGTGGCTGCTTGTTGAAACACTTTCTTATTTATCTTCTTACAAGTTAAGCAACGGTTATGTAATTTGCTTTGCTATTTCAAAAAAAAACAATGCAACCAAATTGTTTTAGTAAATGATCACTAACACCTTTGTACCCAATGTGTTTGTGCATGCAAACGTCCCAATATTTGCTTTGCATAAGCTTTTGGCAGTATCTCTCGCCTGTCTGGCAGCGTCCATTTTCCTTGTTCTAATTTAGCCCCTATTTTCTCCAGTTTCGTTTGTTTGTTTTGTTTTGTTTTCCATTGCATTTCATAGTCGGTCCAAAAATTCCATAGGGGTTTCTTTTGGATTTTGTTGGAACAGATTCTCAATTCCCAATTTAACCAGATTTTGGTATTTATCGTTCATTATTTCCGGGGTGACTATAGTCTCAGCATGGGGTCGGTCAGGGGAATGCAATTGTCAACAGTTCCCTGAGCGGTCCCATTGGCAATCTGAGCTCACTCATAAACTCAGATTGTTTTAAGAGTTTAACTGCTTTTCTGTTTCCGTGACAACTCTCTGACTGTCATGGTCCCTCTGCCCCAAAGGGCTCACACCGGTGATTTTGAGATCACAGCCTCCCATTGAGCAGAACTATTAACATTCCTACATCCTCTTTCCCTGCTCATTCAACTTCCAACAGCTCTGTTAAATACCTACATGCCACACCTTTAAAACACCTTCAACAACTCTTTTAACCCTTCCTTTATTTTCTCCAGCCTGTACTTTTCTCATGCCAACACCAAAGGCTAAGTCAGGGGCCAACTTGCATGTAATTCCACTCCTTTTCCCTCTAAGATGCTGAAACAACATATCAGTATACTACATTTCATCCTATTTTTCTTCTCTCCTCAGAAACAACATTAATTTAATTGCAAGATAGTGTTATAGTCGATTGATCCATAAAAGTGGCCATTCACTTTATATAGTGGCCACCACTGATTGCAATATTTAGTGAAAGTCCTCTGCTTCTGTGTCCCCAGTTCTAACAATATCCTTTGAATGTGACAATATGCACCCGAGGAGGCTTTCTTTAAAACCATCTTTGTTTTGGATATTACCCATTTCCTTGATTTCCCATTCCCTTTTATTTGTTTGGTTTATTTATTTATTTAGTCTTATTCCTTTCTAGTTACTGTCCTTTGTTTCAATTTCCACGCAAACCTTTTTACTGCGGGTTTTTACAATCTTTTCCTAATCTCCTTCCCAAATGTCCCAATTCTCTGGGATTAAACTCTTCTTCCCACATACAAACTTCACTATTTCAAATTATTAACGAGCCCCGTTTCAATCATAAATCCACGGAACTTCAGGAAAACAGCTGAAGCACTCAGCCTTCCGTCTTCTAGACAAACATTACCACCTTCTCCACAAAAATTTACATTTCAACAGGACCGAATTTCAGCCAAATGCGCCCTGCCCAATTTTTTCTCGCACTTTGTTAGTAAGCCCCCATACAAAACAAGGAATCACTCCTGTGTATCCGTCAATAGGGGGGTTTAAAAGGTATTGATGCCTAAATAAATTCGCTCCCCCCCCCTCTTACCAAATTCCCAGGGCTCAAGCCCGAACCACCAAAGAAATGACTCTCTCGGTTCTGCTTTGATAATCAGTCAACCCCCTCCCCCCCCCGCCAGTACTTGGGAAACTGACCAAACACCACAGCAAAAACACCACAGCAAATATACCAGCACTTCTCAACTGTTAGTTACTTCGATAATGCTCCCACCTTTCTTGTCACACTCAAAGCATTTAAGAGCAAAAATAGGATCACAAGATACACTGCCAGGCCCATATATTGGGCACCACCACTCAAAACTTGGATAAAACAGCACTTCTTTTTGGTTTCTCACGCACTTCGTTCGTCTCCGCCCACTCCCCTTGCGGAGAACATGGAACTGCGGATCGGAACTCCGCACTCGCTTTGCAGCGACGCTGCGTCTCACTCACACAGCACAATCACACAATCACACAGAGAGGCCTCTAGCACATCTCATTCATACCACAAGAATATAATTTAGAATGATAACCAACCAAACGAGTATTGTCTCTGACTGTGTTCTTCGTGGAGTGACTTATTCCACTTTGTTTCAAACCCTTCCACTTACACAAATACTTTCAACACAAAATACCTGGACATTTAAGAATAAGACATACAATTATTAACATTCCAGTTAGTATCCCTCCAGCAGCTGAAAACATACCGTTTGTCCGCAGCCTCAGGAGATCTTTGTCTGCTCCTGCGGTGAGCGGCTGAGAGTGGAGTCCCCTCCGAGCAAAACACTCAGGGTGCACCTAGGGGCGTCTGCTCCGCAGCCGATCCTGCAGCCGAGCAGAGTGTCTCCTGCCTGGCTCACCAAAATGACTCACAGAAAGCTGACTCCACAATCAGTAAGATTGTAAAGTAGGTATGTTTACTCAGTTCTGGGCGGCACGGGGGGGGTAGTCCTGCCAAAGTCATGCACGCCTAATGTGACAACTTGCTTTGGTTATATCTAGTAGAGTTACATATACATGAAGTTTCCCAACACTCCTATACATATGCATAACCTGTCCCTTTGTGAACAGTCCTCCTTATCTCAGACCCCTTGGTTAAAGTCCGAACCATGAGGTTGTTTTGATCTGGTTCTTGGGGTCTGAGAGGCTCCTGTTATCTGGAGGTCTAAGCGCAGCACAGGCATAGTACATCACAAATGTAGCACATACTCATTCTTAATCAATTGCTCTCTAATTTCTAATTCCATGTTTCAGCTGCAGCATACTTGCTCTCTTCCGGATCCGCGGGTATTCTACTATTAACATTAATGTTCAAAGCCTGACAGACCCTGTCCTCCGTGGACCCAAATATCAACCAAAATACATGGGGTCTTAAGGGTTCTTTTGGTGTTTCTATCATATAATAATGGACCATTTTTAATTTACTTTTTCATTTTCTGGGGCCCCTATTGTTCCAATTTCTAATCGTTATTCCTAATGGACTTTCTGATAATTTGCTCCCTTTCTTCTGGTCCTTGGTCTTCAATTCTGTCTGACCCATCTAGGAATTTTACTATGGCAATTCCCACAGCCCTTGGTTACCTTAGTAAGAGTGTCTTGCAGGGGGTTTAGGACCTATCACCCACCCACGAATCCTATAGGAATCACTTCCTTCACTGGCCAAGTCCCTCATGGGAGATTGGAACCGCGGTTAGAAGACCTCCACACTGACTTCGGAAGTCTAAGTTACACTCTTACACACACAGGCAACCGAATCCCACCGAACCAAACGGTATACTCCTTAAACACTTACGACTCCATTGTCTTCGTTCGGATCTTCGCGTGCAGAATTACGGGCAAAATACAGTGCTGCAGCCGGCAAGGGAGCTCATAAAAAAAAATCAAATTCTTTGCTTACCTTTATTCAGGCCCAACAGGGCTCTGGGACCAGCCGATGCAGTTTATAGCATGAGAGGTCAACTGATGACAGCACATAAACATTTGATTCCAAATTAACAGGATATTCCTGTTCTCAAAAGCTGCTTGTCCTCTTGGAGCTTTTGGCTGTGTTATTGTAAATTAGTCAACAGTGAAGGAGCACAAATAGTATTTAAACTGTCATCCAAGTATGAAAATGGGTCAGATAAAAATGGCAAGTCACAGCTCACTGAGCAAGAGGTTAGTCACCAAACATCTCATGTTGCCACTAATGTCTTGTCGGATCTGTAGCATTCAGAGCAAAGTTCCAAATGATAATAACAATTTGAAGTTTTTGTCTAGTAATATACAGTCAAAAACCTTGCCTGTAATTCCAAAAGGTTAGACCAGTTAATCTAGAAACTGGCTACAATTTACGTTATGGGTTTTCTCACACTTCTTCACAGCAGCTCATGGAAAAAACAACAACTTTAGTCTGGCTTCTTGGAGGAGCTTGAGTTGTTGGTGATTCTGCCTAGTGAGCTTGCAGGGTGCTTGAAAAGTTTTTGTCCTAAAACACTATAAATGATACACGTAAGTGACAGATGTAAAGCACAGATGGAGGACCATGGAATAAGTTTGTGGCCCCTCACTGGAGTGATCACAAATCAGACTGGATCCAGTTAGATTGCCTTGTTTGAAAAGTCAGAATTGCTACACTGAATATTCTTGAGCTATTTCACTGTGTTTTGTTTAAAGCGGATCTCCTGGACTTGGCCACTTTGTCCTTGTGACCACTTCTGTCCAAATGTTACTTCCACTTGTATGTCAAAACTTTTTTTGTTTCTTAGCTGCTCCTAGAGCTGGGTCATTTTAAAACTTGCTTTGAATATAACAAAACTGATGGCTCCTTCTATAGAGGCATAACAGAACGCAACATTCAGGAGAGCTTCAATTTCTGGTTGTGTAGGCATAGTGTTGTCATGAGGGGAAGCTAAGATGCTGGAATATTAACTTCAAATCTGCTTAGCAATTGGAGTGTTTTAAAATATAGTTATGGACTAGAATATTCTTTTAAAAATAATAAAACTGAAGCAATGAAGTCCAGGCATATTCAGTGTGTTTCTTATCACTCAACTTCCTTTGTATTGAGTCACATTGTGTGGTTGGGGGTAGCAGAGAAAGAGTAGCTGCCAATACAGAAACATGAGATTTAACTGAATGCATCAAATTTGTAAGGGTTCTTGATACAATTTCTTCTTGTGATCTTAGGGCCTTTCAGTTATCTCGACGACGTCCCATTTAAGATAGGAGACAAATTTAAAACCTCTTCGAAGGTTGGATTACCCATTGGTTTCTGCCTGCCTGATTCTTCTCAGCTTGTCAGAGAAGCCCAGGTAAGGATGGTTTGTGTACTTCTGCTCTTTCCTCTGTGACCTTAGGTCTTCAACGTGTGATTCTGTGAACTATATTTTGTTCAGGTGTTAGTCTTCACCGTGCTATACTGTTATTTCATAGTCTGCTAGAATGTAGAGGAAGATAATATTGTAAGCCATGCAAAAAGTTTGTACTACTTATCACTATAAAAAGTCTGATGGCATTTATTTTAATGTATCTACTCCAAAAAAACCCACAGTGTTCTTGTGTAACAGATAAAGGTTTAAATGCTACCCTGACATTGCTAAACTAAGTTGTATTTTTAAGAGGAAAGATGGTAAGAATTGAAACACCAATGCTATGGCATACCCTCAAACAGGGTTCTACAAGTATGAACATATTCTGTGCTATCTCTGTTTTCCAGCCAAGCTGGGGTTCAAATACAGTACGCCTGGTTGGATTGCAATGCCTCAAATAAAATGATGTGATCATGTAGGCTATGCCTTGCACAGAACTACTTGGCTTTTTTTACAGTTCTGGTGGGAGCTATTCAAAATAGTAAAAGTGCATGGAGGCTAAATTGACCAAAGCCATGTACCTAGTATTTCATGCTTCGAAACGTGTGTTTGTATGTTATACAGCTATGATAGCTCTGCTCAGATGGCAAAGTGTGGAATGAATAGTGCCAGCACTTCTGCCAGTGAGTTGTGTTTCAAAATCACCTTGTTGATAAATTGCATGGTCCCATCTCTTAGAGCTAAGGGAAGGGAAACTACTTAGTATAGAGTTGAGATAGGTCTCCAGGTTCTCTCTGGAGCCTGCTATGGATGGATAGCACAGTGTGAGCCCCAGAAAAGCCCAGCAGAGGCGTAGCAAACCTTCCAACTTGTTGCTCTTCAAGAGCATAGGATAGGATGTCTTATTACCCGTTCGGTTATGTGACATCATCTGGCAAAGCAGGCTGTAATTCTTGTGAGTCACAGGTAGGTTACACCCTGGACTTAGCTTTGTAGGCTTGTGTTCTCTGAATGTTTTGTCATGATATGGAGGGCACTAAGGGTGTTGGTCTCTGTAAGTATTAAAGCTTCACATATATTTAGTGTGTTCAGAATTGTGTCTTCTCAGTCAGGCTACCAGAATGGCCTGTGCGCTGGTAGTGAGTAGCTTATCTAAATGTCTTATGTGGCTAACCCAACCCTGAAGGAGCTGATGTCAAATGAGAAAAGCTTGTGAGGATCCAGTCATGCCAAGAACAGTGGCAAAATCTGCTACTATAGAAGTTGTTCTCAGAGTAGCCAGCACATCCCCTTTGGCTGGTGAGTCCTTAGCACAGGTATGAGAATGCTGATACCTCTCCAACCAGTGGGTCTAAAGTTAGTGTCAGGTCCCTTAGGAATTCTTTTAGGGGAACTGATAAATACATTAATGCTCTTTGGAGGCAAAGTTACTCTGCTGTAGTATTGAATGCCTTGTTCAGTGGCGCCAGATCTGGGTGTGACTGTCTATCACGCATGACATCACTGTCACTGACACCTCAGCTTCCACTTATGAGAAACATCTCAATAATTTTCTTCAGACAGGATCTTCTGTGAAGCTATTTCATTTGCGATTGCAATGGTGGCGTCCTGTCAATCAGGAGCGCATTTTAGTAAACAAATCATAACCTTTTATCCCCATTATCCAACACCTGATCACCTCCCCTGTTTCCTCATTGGCTGAGTATACAGGTTCACAACCTACTCGACGCTCCTCTATACCATATTATGTACAATTTTTCTTTTTTTCAACCCTTTAATTTCTCCTTCTTATGCTTTGAGAACTTGTGATCTTTTTTTTACTATTCTCACACTGCTCATCCTGTTTTTCTCAAGCTTCTACCTTATTTTGGAACAGTGAGGCCTCCTACTGTCCACTTAACCTACTTAGCATTTCTCCTTATTATGACTACACAACTACCTTGGAATACAGAAGGTTAGTTTTCTACTGCAAAAACACAACTTTGTTTCTCACAATTCCCCCCTCTTCTTTTCTTACTCCTCTTGTTGTTTTTGTACCTCTTCACATACCACACTCTTGAGTTTTCCAACATTGAGGTGCAATATTCTTCTTCGGATGTCACGGGAGATGATAGATATACAATGCCATTATTATTACAATACCAACAAACAGTTGTTTGATCCAATTCTATTCAGGTAACTGTGAAATTAGTTTCTCCCAAATGTTTCTAAATCCCCAGGAATTGGCATCTTGAGCTACTCTATGTAGGATTTTGTGTTTTTTTTTTCCCAAAATATTTTTGAGATTAGTCAAATCCGTCCCATTTGATCTACATATATACAGCAACTAGTATTAATTACAGTGCACACTCCTCCTTATGAGGTTATTAATAAATCTAATGCTATTTGATTCTAGAGTACTATTTTTGCAAACTTATCAAACTTATTTTCTAGTTCTTCAATATATTTACAATATTTTTGTATTTTGAGAAATTTACAATGTCTTTTTCTAATTCACTCACCCCTAAACAAGATAAAAACCACTTTGCAAAACTGTGAAATGCTAGAGAATTTTACTAAAGGATTATCTGGAATCCGCTTAATTCCACGTGTGGTCTCAAGGGGGGCTTCGGCTTTGTGGGGGTTCAATAATAGTTACATTTGGAATTATTGCCTCCAGGGTGCAAGCTCCCTTCCATCCTAGGGGCAACACCTTCCTGGCTTTATTGCCACATAGCCAGTACCACCCCTTGATATTTGGAACAGGCCTTCTGGTTACAGGATTCTCATGTTGTATCTGGTGTTCATTATGTATATTAGCGTTCCCATGGCTACTATATTCGGTATACAGTATAGATTATTCCCTACTTCATGGATATTTCCACACCCAGGGTCAGTAATATTGCCTCCTGAGTTTTCTATCAATGTTTGTTTAAAAGGCACCTTTGATAACACAGTATGTTGTAGCCAGGACTATGTGTAGGGAGCTCAACTTCAAAATCTATTCCTTCCCGGGACTGAGTAAGATCTGTCGTTTTTAGAAATCTAGAGAATCCAGACAGAGTTGCTGCTGGAAATAGCAATCAGGGACAAGGCCTTTTCAGTCTTTCTAGGCATCTGGGTACAAATCCAACAATTATTTCACTCGAGAGATGTTCTGGATTAATTGGAAATGCCGAACATTCCCTCCAATCCTATCACTAATCCACTGAGAACAGGTATTATTAAGATGAACTTAAAATACATCATTTCTATATGTATATATACACCCCTATAATAATTAAGAAATAATAATAATTAAGAAATAATAATAATTAAGAAATAATAATAAAAATCGCAAACTGATAAGGATTCTTCTGGTGGGGATCGAATATCCCCCTTTCTTTTTCTCCCACTTCCAGGGAGTGTTCCCTGGAAACACTCCAATTCTGTGTAATTCAATCCCTTTTACTCATTAATTCATTAAGAATTCTTCTAAGGAGAAGTTAAACGTTTACAATAGATACTTTCAACAGTTTAACCTTAAAAGTCGTTGTTAATGCAGTCTCTCAGGTATCAGGGTTAACTGATGCTTTTACCCAGGAATGAGTCCACCCTCTCTCAGCCGTTCTTACTGTTGTTTCAGTAGTCAGGAGCACTTGGAACAGTCCGTTCCACTCAGGTTGCAGCTTCGATTCTGCAGTTTGCATCAGATCCCAATCTCCACGGGTCCTGAGAGATGACAAAAAGGATGACAGCCCCAGTATATAGTTCTTAAGAAAAGCATCTTTTTTCTCAAATTGAGGTAATCCATTCCCTTTGTCCAGGTACAGCAATCCAAATAGTATTTCATATGGTGAAACTCCCACATCTTATCTTGGTGAATTCAGAGAAGTGCAAAGGTAAGCACTTTGTTTGGGGAAGATGAGTTTCCAGAACTTAGTCAATTGCTTCTTTTCTGTCTGCTCCACCCTTCCAGAAGAGGAAGGATGCCAAGGAGTATGAAATTTCCACTTCATTCCTAGAGTCCACATTAGCCCTTGCAATATTTCTGACATAAAGTGATTTCCTTGATCAGAGTCAATATTTTCAACAATTCCATACCTGGGAGTTCTTAGAATTACTTTAGTTACTATGTTCACAGTAGCAGATACTAAAGGGAAAGCTTCCACCCACCCTGAAAAATGATTGACCAAGACTAATAAGTATTTATATCTACGTACTCTAAGGAGCTCTGTAAAATCTACCTGTACATTTTGGAAGCGTTGAATTCATGATTATTGCCCCCCCCCGGGCTGACTGTGGATAATTTTCCTATTTACCTTTTGACATATTATGTAACTGCTGCATACTTGTTCAGCCACAGTATATATATATATTCCTACGCATACATAATGCATACATATTTCCATAGCACAGCATCACATATTGCTTGAGTTTCCCAATGACCCTCTTGATGTAAAACCGTTAATATTTGCCTCATTAGCACTTCACAGAATCACAGAATTTCTAGGTTGGAAGAGACCTCAAGATCATCGAGTCCAACCTCTAACCTAACACTAACAGTCCCCACTAAACCATATCCCTAAGCTCTACATCTAAACGTCTTTTAAAGACTTCCAGGGATGGTGACTCCACCACTTCCCTGGGCAGCCTGTTCCAATGTCTAACAACCCTTTCAGTAAAGAAGTTCTTCCTAACATCTAACCTAAAACTCCCCTGGCGCAACTTCAGCCCATTCCCCCTCATCCTGTCACCAGGCACGTGGGAGAACAGGCCAACCCCCACCTCACTACAGCCTCCTTTAAGGTATCTGTAAAGAGCAATAAGGTCACCCCTGAGCCTCCTTTTCTCCAGGCTGAACAAGCCCAGCTCCCTCAGCCGCTCCTCGTAGGACTTGTTCTCCAGACCCCTCACCAGCTTCGTCGCCCTTCTCTGGACCCGCTCGAGCACCTCGATGTCCTTCTTGTAGCGAGGGGCCCAAAACTGAACACAGTACTCGAGGTGCGGCCTCACCAGAGCCGAGTACAGGGGGACGATCACCT